TTTTATGGTTCATTAGTTATCGCTGTCCAGCAGAAGTTTTTCGTAAGGCTTTGTTATTGTTTGACATTCTACTACAACAACAGCAAAAATACCAATCGAACAAGAGTTGAATGCTACAAGCCGGAAGGTTGCGTGATGGAATCCCGATAAGTTCATTGAATTTTTCAATTAACCTAATCCTTCCAGCCGCATTTTGGGCCTGGGGTCGACTTAGCCTCTAACATAAATGAGTAACAGTAATTTTCCTGGGGTGTAAAGGGCGGTCGGCGCGTAAGGCTGACAACCTCAAAGCCATCTGTGAGGCGATTGTCTAGAGAAAACGTGGCAGCCTCGACCTCTCACAACCTTATGGGCCTTCACGGCCTGTTACGGGGACAGCTTTACCTTTCTCAAGAGTTGCATATTTTCGAAGATCTACTACCATACATCATTTCAGGATCCTGTACTAAATGGCCCCCGGAGTCACGCCCATCGCCCAAGTTCGTGCCTCCACGATGTTGTTACTGACTGCAGTAGGCATCAGTTAAAAATACGATGGTACAATGGCCTCCATATAGAGTTACGTGGAAACTGCTCGACTGGTTCGGAAGTTAATACGGAAAGCATTCGGGAACACAAAGCATACAGGAATCTCAGGGGTGTGCTTTATTTATTTCAGAAAGGTGAGAAGGCCAACAGAAAGCTGTCGGGAAAGACTGTTTGCGGGATGTGTAACAAAACTGAATAAACTGCGGACATTACATAACATACGATGAAACATGAACATATCACAATCCTGAATCTGAATGAATTTTTGAAGAAATATGAACGTGGCCTATTTTAAAGTAATATCCCAATATTTACCTGGACGAATTTATTACAGCAACAGGAAACAGACATGACATACGGTTCCTTACATGATATGTAAACAAGGAACCTAGAATACGCATCAGATGCGTTACCACCGCCCATATATACATCAGAAAGACGTACTGAATTAGAAAAGCCTTCGTGGTAATTTACATTATGATCTTAGTAGGAAGGGCACAGAAGGAAAGCGAGACATCGACAAGATATCATAAACATGACTGTGTTGAAATTTTAAATTAAGCAATTACAGTACACTGATACAGTCAGAAGAAAAGAAGGCAAAGCTATCCCAGGCCGTGAAGGCCTATAGGGTTGTGAGACGTGGAGGCTCCCATATTTTCTCTAGAAAATCGACTAAATACGGTGGTAAGATTGTTAGCCTTATGCGCCGGCCGCCCTTTACCCACCGGAAAGATTCCTGGCACTCATTTCTGTTAGAGGCTTAGTCTACCCCAGGGCCATATTTGGGCTGGAAGAATTAAGTATACTGAAAATATTCCACCTCATCGGAACTCGAACCCGTGACCTTCTGGTTTGTAGAATAGTGCCTCAACCAACTACGCTACCGCGTACCTTCCTTGAACTCCAAATTAATGACGTTACAGTCCAAGTCACAAAATACCAAGGAGTATCATTTCGGGCCCCAGACTTCAGACGGCCAAGAAAAAGACCCATCAGCCTTGGTGAAATCGGCCTAACGTTAAATGGCACCATTTGCAGAAGTAATGTTGCCCCGTGCTTAATTAAGCACCATACCCTGTATGGGTCCCTGATACGCACTGCGTAAGAGGCTGAGTGAGACCCATACTTGGATGCTGTGACGAAGGGTAAAATCTCTGCCCCGCCGGGAATCGAACCCTGATTCCCGGCGTGGATCATAACTTATTCATTATGTCGACTGAGCTATTGCAACTCTATATGACATAATATTCATTGTTTCTTTTTCGTTCATCAATGGCTCTTGAGCAGTTTCGTAATATTTTTTAACAGACGGTAGGAATCCTAGCACGAGTGATCAGCCCGTCGCAAGGCCGCTTCCTACATGCAGGACAACGCAAACACAGAATAAACGCACGCACAGACATCCCACGATCCCAGAGTTTGAGAGAGCGAAGAAAGTTCATGCCTTAGATCGCGCGGCCACCGTGACAGGCATGACATAATATGGCCATTTTAAAAACAATATTTAGTGAATCTTATGGACACTATGGGAATTTAACATATCATTGCGTCTCAATCGAAACTGCAGTCCCTGTCACCAGAGGGTGCCCATCACAGTTTCAGTAAACTGACTGTGAGCCCACACCGATGCACTCGTCTGTTCTAATTGGAAATTCTGCTAAAAACTTTCGGGACACGAGGATACGCTCTTCCAGCCTTCACACAAATCGGTTATGTCACAGAGGCTGCCTCACTGCTCGTCTCGCTGTGGCGTGAGTCTTCAAACAGAAATCAGTTCCATTAGGCATATAACGGCACGCGGAGAAGCTTACGGCTTATAGTCGGAAGGCATTCGGTTCGATTCCTAGCTTATATCATAGCTTAAAATAGACCACAGTTACTCCAATATTTTTTTATTTCTTTCATTCAATGTTATATAATGTTTAGTGATGATAAGGCTCGGCAAAATAACCGAATAACACACTACTCTGGTACACAAGAGAAGAAGTTTACTTTCTTCGAGAAAATACACATTTTGAACCCAAAGATACCGAAGTGTAGGGATACTTCGTATAATAAAATTATTTGTTTGCGATCTTCAGAGTAGCAAACCCAACAGAGGCCTTCATTTGCAAGTCATCATGGTTTAAATGCTAAACGTGCTTTCTGTGCCTTCGAAACATTCAGTTAAATATATACCAGCACATCAAGGATATAATTTCAGTGGTGTTTTGACAAATGAATTAACATAAATTAAATTTTACTGGAGTAACTGGCAAATCAGTTACGTTTCTCGTCATTAATATTACCACATAACCTTTCTACTGTCTTATCATCTCATACGTTTCAGGGAGAGAAGGCGTGTGTATTTATAAATAAACACATAAATATGATCCTGACATGGAACCTATTTTCAATTTAACTTCATAATTTTCGAGCAATTTCTACCTGTCTCGTTTCATTTCAGACACTTTATCGTTACACCGAACTATCTGACGCACTGGGTCTACACAGCATTAGTGATATTTTCTTATGAAATTATTGCTGCTTACACAGAACAAAAGGGCTTTCCACTATATTGTAGGTTATGAGCTTCATGGATGACATTTTGCTTAACACATTATCATCATTTAGTTCAATAAAAGTAACGCATCTTCTGATGTTAAGTTTAATCTATATAATGAGCGCTAATGGAGTTTGATTTATTCTCTTATGTTCTATTTACATGTACTTGACGAATGTGAAAATCATATTACTTCCTAATAAGTTTACAATAATTAATTTAAAAGCAAATAATCTTATTTGCTGCGTAATTCTACATATATTTATGTGAATTTAAGTTAAAGAGCATACCTTACACAAAAACAGATTCATAATTCATATTCCACTGCAGTGGGACTCAAATGGGCGTCATGTTTCGTAAATAACAACGTTACATTATACTGTTAGAAGTCAAGAACTTTATTCTATTGTGGCATGCGAACTTAAATTAATGGAATACTGACGGTGCATTATTCTGAAGTGAAGAAGCATGTTTTCTGACACCGAGAGGAACACACTGTCTTATTCGTAAAACACGTAAACCTACCTCTTTACAGCGACAGACTATTTAAATACTGTTTTAAAAGTCAGTTCTTACCTCGCGAAAACATATAGCATTCCCATTACAAAAATCAGTGTTTTTAAAGAGTTTAGAGAAACAAATTGTTGTGAGAACCAAAGGAATCCCACGAAAAACTCTGGGAATAAAGTTTGTTATTTAGAGTGAAGAAAAGGGGGGGCATACAATGACGACTCCTCGATAAAGGGTTAACAAGCACTAACCTTCCGTAATTTAATGAAATGTACTTGTCCTGAAATAACGACGTGGTAATCAAACGGAACTGAACCCGCTGTGAGACATCACTGCTGTATAAATTAAGTAAACCTGCGTTGTGTGATCCTGCAGTGTTTATTACTGGTGAATTAATGATAGGATGTAAGTAACAGATCTTACGTTTACTTGGCACAGAAGTCATGTAAGTAAGCTAAACTTCTTTCAGGAATAGCGGTTAGGGTAATTAACAGAACTTTTTAATTTTTTTAAAGCCTTTAAACTAACAAAACCTGTTGGTGGCAACTCACGGATGCCTACTTCAATGTTGCATAGCATAATAATATTGTGCATTCCAATACTGAAATTCACTTCGTCTAATACATTAAAATAACACACATTCCTGCAACAATATTGGCACTGAACGTGACAGAACTTACCTTTAACTGTAATCAGATTCACTTTACAGGTGAAATTATTTTGCTCTGCTAATGCATCCCACACTATAAACTATTCAGTTTATTGGAAACCCAGTTTTCCCTCCTGACAATGGTTTTCGATTGTGCACGCCTTGCAGTTATGCAAATCGTAGGGCTTGCTGTCAACGTGACAGCACTGGACAGTACTGCATCGCGCTACTAAAGCTACTGGCACAATTTTTCAAACCGCTTTATTGTTTCTCAGGCCATTGAACTTCGTGTCTGCGTGGCAGCTCAATTATTCAGTGCACTGGAATTTAATTTTCTTGAGGTTCTGTATACCTTGGGGCACAAATAAGCCTTTGGTTTGAATGGAGTGGCACTACTTACTATAAATAACTATGCTGGCACGTGGAGGTTGCGGACTGAGGGGTGGAATTTGGCAGAACACTTGTTCTAAATTAACCAAAACTACCGTCCAACTGTTGTTTACAAAAGCAAGCAACAGCTGTAAAAATCTGCGTCTTTTTTACGCGTGTGTGTTGTTTGGAGTAGGCACGGCCGCTGTTTGGGAAGTTGGGAAAGTTTCGCGAGAACATGAAGTCCGGCTCGGCTCGGCACGGCCCGGCCCGGCACAAGTTGCTCGCGTCCACTGAACCCATCACCACAGCGAGAGAGAAGGTACGCAAACCTGTTGGAGCAGACCCGAGCCGGTCGCGACCCATTCGGAAGACGCCGTTACCTTCAGGATGTCTTACCTTGAGTCGGCTGCAGCAGAAGTATCAGCACCAGGATGGAAGATGCAGCAGCATTCATTGCGCCGACGGTCTGATCCCGGCGTGTGTCGGGGAGTGAATGGCGGCCACGTGGCTAGCGGCAGAACATGTGCGCACAAGTCAGTCACATGACGACCGCCTTCAAGATGCGCCAGCACCACACACACACACATGAGAACTCTTCTAGCCTGTGCACATCGGTCGCGCCGACACACACCACTGCTGCCTTACAGGCGGCGGGGCCACTCACTGTGGTTGCCGTGGGGGGGAGAGATGACCGTGCCGTGACGAGCGTGCTCAAGGCCTCCTCCTATGAGTTCATGAAACACCGTCATCTAGGCGCTGGAGTTGTTGAGGAGAACCACGCGGCAAAGGAGGGGAGGAAGGGTACAGGGCCGACCCATTGATTGATATCAGCGATCGAAATCCGAAAATTAGCTTCGTGCAGTCACTGAAGCGACTGGTTGTGGGCTGTTCGTCCAGTGTTCAATTTTCAGTTTTGGGACTTATATTGGGGCCTCTCATAAATCCTGGCTTGAAGGTCACCACAAATGTTGGGGTGTTACCTCAGTGACCCCTATATGCCTTCGTGGCTTGGTGATGACACCCTGAGGTGACATTACCTTCATCTGATAAAACGCAATTAAATCCAGACCATAGCTTCCAGTAGACGTCCTTCCGAATTCCGCGCTACTAAAGGTAGGCGAACTTGACGCCACGGAAGTTAATCTGTGGACGGCCAAATAACATAATTATTTTAGAATGTAATGTGTACTCCCTGCCTAATTTTCTTTTGGAGCCGAAGAACGAAGGGCAAATATGCAGAACGCTATGGCGGAAACCTCATGCGGGGGACTGGGAGGGGGGACTTGAGAGACCAACAGTTAGACAAAATGATTTTAATACGGAACTTATGTCAATAAGATGCAAGAATGTGAACTGAACCGCATAAATTAGCCTACGGACCACAAGTAAAGTAAAGTAATGGTATCCCTTTAACAGACCGTGAAGGCCCATAGGGTTGTGAGCTGTCGAGATTCCCACATTTTCTAGACAGTCAGCTCACAGATGGCGGTGTAGTTGTCAGCCTTACGCGCCGGCCACACTTTACCCCCAAGAACATTCCAAGAATATTCCTGGTACTCATTTCTGTTAGAGGCTGAGTTGACCCCAGTGCCATAGTGCGACTGGAAAGATTAGATAAATTGAAAAAAATCACCTCATGGTGATTCAACCCCGCGACCTTCCGGTTTGTAGCATAGTGCCTCAACCAACTACGCTACCGCGACGGACCACAAGTGCCGTCTCTTATTGTAAGCCTGAGAAAGCTTCGGAGGTCCATAGCGGAATCTTTTCGTCCGAATAAATAAGTGTTCTATAAGAGGTGGAATCTGAAAAGAAATAATCATAAACGGACCATTCCTCTTTAATAAATAATCCTAGATTTCTTCTCCGAATAAAAGCTGCTTATTTCTCGTGTTGTGTGTTGACGAATATTTCTGAGGCGCGAGCGGGTGTTGTACGAGTTGCATGTGCGCGCGCATGCCTGTAGGCATACTACATATTCGTTAGATACGTCATCTGTCATATGTGGGAATATGTACGGTAACGGTTTCCAAGCAAAATAACTGGGTATCTCTGTAAGAATGTCGAAAGAATTTCAGTTTCTGAAGTTTGTGTTCTATTTAACATTATATCTCTTCAGAGTAATTTGTGACATTAAGTGAAGAATTAGACTGACTCTCCCTTAAAGCCAAAACTTTTACGTAATCACGCTGAATCCTGGGAATAGTTTCTCATGAGTCAACGGACGTAAGTGCTTTACCTGCAAATCTAAAGCTAGTTTTTCTGAAACTGGATTACAGCGATGATGAAGATACACAGCGGCAGCAGCAAATGTAGAATTTCCCTTAAGGATTCAACACTGAAAACAATGAATCTCATTTTATAAGCCTTGAAGTTCTCATGTGGCAGGACATATATATTGTCACCTTCTGTGTCATGACGTCATGTAACAGCGGGATCCAGTTTGTTAGAATATACGAGCCCATAACCTGGTAGGCTACCCTGTTAATGGATTTTGTTACAGGAAAATCAACGCTACTTAGCAAATGGTGGGGGCACGCGCTAGCGTAGTTGGTTGAGGCACTATGTTACAAGCCGGAATGTCGCGGGTTCCTGTCCCGATGAGGTCATTGGATTCTTTCAATTGACCTAATCCTTCCGGCCGCACTATGGCCATGGGTCGACTCAGCCTCTAACAGAAATGAGTACCATGAATTAATTAAATAATTTTCTTGGGGATTAAAGAGCGGCCGGCGCGTAATGCTGACACCCTTACCGCCATCTTTGAGCCGATTGTCTAGATAATGTGGGACCCTCAACGTCTCACAACCCTATGGGCCTTCACGGCCTGTTACAGGGATAGCTTTACTTTTTTTTTACTTACTTTTACTTAGCAAATGGTTACTTCCTCCATAATTAAATATTTCTTTCCTAATCATAATTTGTGAAAAGCGCCCCTCTTCATGCACTCCTACATATTTTACATTTAAATCCGGTTTTGTTGCTCGATCGTGGTGATAAGAAAGACTCACTGATACTCGTGGAGTCCAGCTGGGTCCACTTGGTCTATTGTAGCTTGCCCCGGGTGATTATGATGATAGAGAATTTGGTGGAATGAAGATTGGCAGGGGAAATTGAAGTACTCGGAGAAAACCCGCATGAGCGCCAATCTGTCCACCACAAATCCAACTTGACCAGACCCGGGATCGAACCCGGCCGGCGCAGTGGGACGCCAGTGACTAACCGCTTGAGCTATGGCGCGGCCTACGTGGTATTCGAAGTCACAAAAATTGCCCGATCCCCGGGCTCGACAATTCAATAACTGCTAACTGAAAAGCCTTTATTGTTATGTTATTTAGCCGTGCTGTTTCAGCTGAATAAGTACTATAGCTTAGAATGAGTTAACTAATGGGTCGATCTGACTTTATAAGGAGACGGCCGTGGCCTATTTTAAGGTAATGTCTCCTTACAGGCAGCACAGACCGACATTCGAACCGGCTACCTCACGGAAACAATGGCGTCTTTACTGTTACATCAACTGTTCGGTGATAAATGCAAAGCCCTGATAAGGGATTGCACCCGTAACATATCAGCCAGTAACGAGACGAATTCTCACGGTTTTGGTGTAAAAAATGAAACTCCACATGAATGATTTCACTGATCTGAAGCACGCACACAACACAACGCTACGTGTTTGAAGGTTCTTGCTTCGATGCAGGCAATCTGCTTGGTCCTGTAGGCGTAAGCAGGTTAGGTCAGTGGCAACAAAACCCGGGCCAGTTGCCTGACTAAAATTTGTCGTCGTTTTCCTCAGTGCGTCCTGCCGAAAGTCGGCCTGCATAGACCATTGCCCCTGCTTCACGGTTCAAAGTTCATAGCCATTCACACAAGTCATATCGTTTGGCACTAACCTTACGAAGCTTTATGCGTTAGTCTATATCGTTAAATTTACTTACTTACTTACTCATGGACCTGAACCCTTTTGAAGGGAACCGCCAATTCTGCAGCTACTCAAGAATTTCCCTGCATTTTATAGAACTCGAAGGTTTGTTACCGTGTTCACAATAGCCCTCTACAGGTCCCAATCCTGAGCCAGATCAGTCCAATCCATCCCATCCCATCCCGTCTCTCTAAGATCCATTTTAATATTGTCCAATTGTCCACACACTTATGACTTGGTCTTCCCAGTGGTCTCTTTCATTCTGGCTTTCCCACCAGTATCCTATATGCATTCCTCGTCTCACCCATGCTAATGTCCTACCCTTTCATCCTCCTTGACTTGATCATTCTAATTTTATTTGGAGAATTGTACAAGCTATGAAGCTCCTCATTATGCAGTTCTCTCCAACCTCCCGTCACTTCTTATAAAACGTATTGAAGTGCTCTCAGGATGTTCGTATGTTACCTCGAACTTAGATACCAATCACAAAACAAGTTAATTTAGCGATAACACAGTTCACTTGTGTTCAGAAAGTGTTCGGCCAGAGAACAGCTATTCGCTTTTCGTGATCTTCCTCGAGACGAGCTGCAAGAGAGAGTCTGTCTGTCTGTCACTGCTTCCTTGCAAATGTTTCCGTAATCAGGATTTATCTTGATCTCCCATCGTCATACATCCTCAGTAACTGACAGACTGTCATTAAATATCATAATCCCTTATCACTAACGGAAGTTACCTAGAGATTAAGGATATCAGCATCCTCATGAGTAGAATCGCCAGGAGCGGAAGGGAGTTTAGGGAAAGCGGACTGCGGAGCGAACAGTTTATACTTTCAGATATTCACGGTTCCGTAGTTCTATTGGGTTAAGGACTGCTTATGGGTTTTGTCAGAGCCGGAATAACTCAGTTGGTATAGTTAATACTGGATACGGGCTGGACGGCCGAAGGGTTGGAGTCTGAGTCACAGCAGGGGCAAGATTTCTCTTCTCTCCACGTTGTACAGACTGGTTCTGGGGCCCACCCAACCTCCTGCCCAGTGGGTACTAGGGTCATTTTCCTTGGGGCTAAAGTGGTCAGAACGTGAAGCCGAGCAGTCTCCTCCGACTAGTGTCGAGGTTAAGAATACATGGATTTATACATCCACTCCCCCATACGTCTTCATGGCGTAGTGCTTAAGTAACTTTACTTTCTTATGGGTTTTGCTATTCTGCTTTACTTTGTCTTGAAGATGGTTTATTTACTTATTTTTATTGATAGTGGGGTAGGACTAAGTCCCTTGTACTGCGGCCACTTCTGGAGATGGTTCATATGTGCGTCCAATATTAATTAATGAACGTTTAATAATTAAAGGAACCCATGGGACTTCTTTCTGTCACCACAAAAATGGACATGTAAGATCTTAAATAAGAGCGCCGTTGCTTCCCAAATTCGCCGTTGTCTTCATTACCTCGACAAGTAATGCGCAAGGCACATTATGTGTTCAGTGGCACACTCGCACTCTCGTGTATATTTTCCTTCGCCTTGGTCTAGCCTCATGCTACAGCTAACCAGGTTTTGTACCCTACCTCTACACTTGAAGCACTTTGGACTGTCTACAGACTGAACATTACAGTTACTACACACCGATGTAAGAAGCACACCGGGGCCGCGCCATAACTCAAGCGGTTAGTCGCTGGCTTCCCACCGTGGCGGCCCGGGTTCCATCTCGGGTCTGGTCAAGTGGGA